TCTTATTGTATATTGTAAATTAAGGTTCCTAGGTATTCCGTGAATGCTATTTTTATTCAGCAATACTTCTCCTATCGCTTTTTCAATAATATTCTGTTATATTGGCACTTTCTCAATTTTTTTTGTAATTTCTCATTAAAATCGTAGCTTGAAATCTACTATTTGTAAATTTTATACCAAAACTTTAAAATTTTGTTAAAAACACCTAAACATACTTAAACTATTTGTTTATACACTCGTCTTAAGACTACAATCTTGGCTATACAAGTGTTTGTTTACATCTCGTAAATTTCTCTTACAAATTTTTCCCTGACAAACTTAATACTAAATTTTGCGCCTACAGAGCGACTTGAAAATTAGGAGTACTCGCATTTGCCTGGACCACCCGTCTAATGGGTTTTCTCGCCAGTGGAGAGGGAAACTGTAGAAAACCTCTCCTGAGTACAACCGGTTTATCGACAGTCGAGTTCTAATGGTCTGTACCGGACAATAATCGACGGTGCACATCATTATACCTCGACGTCAAACCTCCCGCTCAGATTGTCTCACGTGCCGAAAAAATACCAAGCCGAATGGGCGCGAACCATGGGTACTCACCCTTGGTCGCGGTTGCACTGAGCCGCGTGGCAACCGGCGTGAGACGAGGCGCCCGGGACGCAATTTATTCTTTGAAATGTAATAACTCAAAAACAAAAAAAGGGCATTCTGAAAATTTATATGCCGTTAGGAAAAAACCTCAGCTTTCGTTTGCAATAATTTATTTTCAAAAAAACGGACCGATTTCTGGGAAATTGAAAATTAAATATTAATTATCAAAAATTAGGGTAAATTTTTAAAATATTAAAAAATAAAATTCACCATTGGAAAGAGGACGAAAAAACCTTTCAGAAACATATTCTAAAAAATTTTTCCCATTACAAGTATGTTCTGAAAAAATTCACAAAGTAGCCGGTGTTAGCAAAAATTGGTCAAATTGACCCCCCTCTACCCCCGATCTGGGAAGGTGTTTCATGCCATGATATGGCCTAGATATGGCAATTTCTACACGGGGTAGAATACCTGTTTTTACAGTACTATACACGTAAAAAACCACGTATATTACTTCGCTTCAAGTACCCGAAATGGTGTACTTTCCGAGTAGGTAAAACAAAAAAGTAATTTCGTCAACGTAGTAGCGCTAATTTTAGGTACCTTTATTTAAAAGAATATTCTTGATATTTTCTGGAATAAATTCAAAATAAAAATGATCATCTTTATCATCTTTGAAGTTGTCTTCTTCTTTATAATTCACCGCATAGTAATCAAAATCATCGTCATTATCATCATCATCATTATCATCATCATCATCATCATCATCATCATCATCATCATCATCATCATCATCATCATCATCATCATCATCGTCGTCGTCGTCGTCTTCATCATCATCATCATCATCATAATCATAATCACCGTCGTCATCATATTTTCGGATCTTTTTCGGCTGTCCTAATATTTCTCGAATCCTATTCGAGTCAGCTTCATCGTCCTTTTTGAAATTATAATCTTCATCAGGGTCGCTACGTACTTTTTGAAAGTTATAATCCTGACGTTGCCTTCTTGATGGCTGACATTTTTGTTTTAATTTACTTAACCTTTTATATTGATTACCTTTTTCTTGTAATAACTGAGAATAAAATAATAAAATTATAAAATAATTAATAATATGTGGACGTCCACATGAAAAGGGCCTATTCTGGAACTATTGGACTTATCCATATGAGTGAATTCCTTGCAAAACTTAGAGAATTTTGAGAGTATAAAGATTGTTATTATAATTTTATATATTTTAAAAGTTATAAATAAAAAAACTAAATGAGGAAACTCCTCACGATGCAACAGATGGAGGTCTAAGGATTGAATAGATGGCTTTTTGCAATACCTATTGATATTCGATAATTTTAAATTAAATGTTTATTGCATTTTTTAAAAAAAGCCACTTTCTGTCCCTTAGCGCACAATATACTATTTAAGAGTGTTAAGAAACCGAATGAATATAAAAATAAACTAAATTTATAATTGAGCGAAACCCTATTTTTATGAACGAATTTGTAAATAAACAAGTGTAAATTAAATAAATAAATTATTTAACTTAGTTCTTTTTAATGGCTACCTTCTCAGCGTGTATTCCTGATTCAAAAGTGGATCCATCATCCTGATCGATTTGGTTCAATGGAGGATACTTCAATCGATACTTATTTTTCCTTTGTATAGCTTTATCTCTTGTGCCTAATAATTTATATCAATGGAATTTATATTGGTAACCAATTAAATGTACAATATTTAATTTGACAATTTATAGTTGTCAAATTGTAAATAACAAATTTGTAAAAGTACCAATAACGGAACACTTTAAAATTTCGTCCCTATTACGGAACAGTATTACAAAAATTGAAATAAATGCAATTAAAATTAGTGGTAAGAAAATTCTAGTTATTTCAATAAATTTTACACAATATAAGAATTATTATTTCTGTATAGTATTTAATTTAATAAGAAATGTTTAATTTTCTACCAAAAAAATTGGCTTTTTAATTATCTATTAAACTAAAATTTGTTCATTGTATTTAATTCTTTATAATTAATATTTAAATTTTTGAGATAATTCAATAGAATTGTAATTACTTATTGAATCAAATAAAGTGTTCTAGGTGTTCCTTAATAGGGACATTCAATTTGGAACACCCGTACACAGAGAAAATGATCGTTCCGTAATAGGTACAGTGCAGAGTTTTATAATTTAATTAATATTATTCTTATTTCATAAAAAATAATCATTTCAGGTCTTAAATACTATTAATAAAATAACAATCTTTCAATATATACCCTAATTATTCATATTAACACTTCTAATTCCAAGATATTTATCATAGAAATTTAGTTAGGTTAAAAAGCGTTCCGGTATTGGTACCTTTATCTTATAAAAAATTTTAATTTTCTCATAAAATTTTTTTATCCGAAGTATTGGCAAAATCTAGCTAAGTAAGTTTTATAGCCCTGACTAAAGACTCTACTGTCTTTATTATTATTTTTGTACATGAATATTAGTTTTAATGTCAATTTTCATGTTAATACTGAGAAAAATATTAACCTTAAAGTGATTGAATGTGAAACTTTTTACCCTATTTTTTATCAAACTTTAATATGTATATATATGTTTGAAATGCAAACTGGACTAAATAATATATTTTTGAAAATCGAAAAATAACTTACTGTTATTCTCGATGAATGCAATTAATGCACGGCACCATTTATTTTCATTTCTGAAACATTTGGCTAAGTATGATTTGCATGGATTAAATTTCTCGGTATCAATTTGCACATTTGCTAATGGTATAATATAAGATTGGTTTTTATGCCCGGGACATTCTTCAATGTATTTTATACAAGCCCAATCCATTTTTAATATTTTAATAAGAATTTCAAGAAATAATTGAGAATCTGAATTTCATTTCGATAGTATCGATATCGTTGATAAAAATTTAATGCAATTTAATGTTACATTTCTTCGTGTAGCGAAAGATTTGGTTTATGAAATTAAAAAAAAAAATATCGTTATGATAATTATCAATATATTTTTTTTGAAGATAAAGAGCCCAGAAAGAAAATTTTTTAAAAATTTTTTTAACCAAATTGAAAAACAGACTTTTTAATTGTTCGGAATCGAAAAAAGCATTTATCCAAAAATATTTCCTAGCTGAATTATTACTGAATTAAAGAAAAGTAATTGTTGTAAACAAGTATAACCATTAACAAATTCACTGTTTGGACAGTTTTTGGCGTAAGAAGGTGTTTTCTTCTGATAATTTGTGTAAATTGTAGTTATTTATAAAAGTTGTAGCGGTAATTTATAAAAATGTAATAGCGCGAATCTCAATTAAAAATTATTATTCAGTAATTTATGGAAATTTTTGCTATAATTAATAAAAAATGTTCCACATAAGTTACAATTAAAAATTTTTATTTTAGAACTCGAGGAAGTTAATTTTTACTTTCACTAAAGTAATTTTAAGTAAATTAAATAAGTTATTCAATATAATTAATTAATAATTAAATAAGCGTATGTTTCTTGTTTGCAGCTTTCGGATTTCAACATAACAGCAAGAAAAATAGTATAACAACAATCTTGTTCAATAAATGCGTTACTTAATAATTCTTCAACAATTTAAGGAAATAAAAAAATTGTCATACTTAAAAAAAATAAATTAAATTAATCGATTTCTGTTTTTAAAGTACTGTATTCTATGTACTGTAAAGTTTTTAAATAAAAAAATATAGCCTTATTCTAAAAAAGCATTTTGAAGTTGTATCAAAAAGATGTTTATATGGTTTCAAAATACGTATATTTTATAAACGAAAAAATTTACAATCACATAACAATTAATAATAATAATAATAATAATAATAATAATAATAATAATAATAATAATAATAATAATAAACAACAAATAATAAACAAATCAAATTATAATCTAGGAAATAATTAATGTATATATGTATTATTTGGTCTTTTGGGTGTAAGTTCGTGAAGAAATATAATGAGAAGAAGAAAGTAAATAAGATGATGGAGAATCAAAAAAACCACAAGAAGAGAAGCTTTCCATTTTCTTCTAATTTTCAAGTGTACGTATGTACATGTGTGTGTTAGAGTAAGAAAGAAGAGAATATTTTATTGTCAGGTTGCATGAGTTCACACTTTAAGCCACTAAGTGATAGAAATTTGTTTCTGAAGATTCTACACTCTCATAAAGAAAAATTCTCTGTGCATCTATGGGCTTGGATTCTAGAAGGATATTAATTAAAGATTTGTTTTCAATTATCTGACAAGTTGTATCTGACATGCCTTGGAAGTAAACTTTCAAATGTGCGTCCTTTTGCTTCTATACAACATTTTGCTCTCCTGATCAAGTTCAAGCTGCATCTTTTTAACATTTCAGGAGTGACTGTTAAAAAAGCTTCTTTTATTCTCTCCCGTATCTGTTCTTGGTTTTCAACAGGTTTGAATAAACGTGAGCTTTAACATGCCCCCAAAGAAAAAAATCGCATGGAGTTAAATCCGGCGATCTTGGGGGCCATTCTCTTTTTGTACCGAGCGCAATAATACGTTTTCCGTATAATGATCGAAGAGTCTTCAACGCCACTTTACTTCGGTGAATACCCGCTCCATCTTGCATAAATCTATACTTCCTACCTGCTGCGATTCCACTAGCTCTAACTAACCTAGGAACGTAGTTCTTTAAGAAGTCACTGTATCGTTTTCCATTCATGTATCCATTAATTTGGAAAGGACCGATCTGAAAATAAAGGAGATTAGTATCAAGAATAAAAAAGTTTAAATTTATTTACCATTAATATCTAAATTGCAGCAATATTGCTACCATCGATTTAAAACAAAAAATTTGCCTTAGTAATTTTTTGTAGTATTCGTGCGAATAAATCAGAAATTTTGTTCAGAAATCAGAAATTTTTTCAATAGGGGAGAGTGGGGCAAACCGGCCAGGTGTCAATATCTCCAAAATGGCGAAATTGGCAAAAGTGCTATTTAGAAATTTGAAACAACCATGTGTAGTATATTTTACTTTTGTTTGTGCAACGCTGGGAGCAAAAGTTTTTTTTATTTTTTTTACACTTTTACGAATTTTTTCTTAAGGAAATTCTAAGGAAATCGTGTAATATTTCCAAATATTAGGTCTTGGGTTATGAAGGTACACACCTCAGGAATATTTACCACCAAAACTTTGATGAATTTGCAAAGCGTTTCTTTTAAACAAATATTTATTCTCAAAATGAGCCTGTGGGGCAAACCGGCCATAGGATATTTTCATTGTATTAGAGTTCCAAAAAAATTATTATTAATTAGAATGTTTTTTTTCATTAAAATTTTTACTTTCAATGAAAAATAATTATCTTCCAACGAGAATTAGACCCTTTAATATTGTTTCTCTGATAATTTCAAACATTTTTTTCGGTTATTTAAAAAAATTATTTATTTAATTAAAATTCCATCCTGTATTATTATTTACATTATTACAACCATTGTTTGCATGATTCTTTATGTTTGTTGTTATTGTAGATTATAAAAATGCAATATTATAGATAAAAAACGTAGATGGCCGGTATACCCCAGGGGGTGGGGCAAACCGGCCAGTTTGCAATTTTTTAAAAAATTAACACAGCAACTAAACAATAAAAGATAAAGTTTAGGTGTCTCTAGGAAAAAGTTGCGCAATTAAATGATCTTTCTAACAAGCCATCGAAAAATGAATCGGTTGATTCGTTTAGTCACAAGAGTAAAAAAAAATCGTGGGTATGGCCGGTTTGCCCCCTCTCTCCTAATTATAAACCACTTTTTTGTAAGAATTTTGTACAATATTCTTAAAAAATTGCTTACTAATGTTGTATGCATATTTATTAAAATTCGTCAAATACTAAAACCGGAATCATTTGTTTTGTAGGACGCTTACCAATTGGCCATCTAGATCCCAGCCCACAGATGCACAGAGAATTTTTCTTGATGAGAGTGTGGCATCTCCAGAAACAAATTTCTGTCACTCCAGTAGTGTTCATTTCTGTAGTTGAATGGACCTTCTCTAGCAAAACGACACTCATCGGTGAAAAGAATGTTATTTATAAAAGTGGGGTCACGCTCGTGTCTTTTTACAAGCCACTTGCAAAATTTTAAACGCCTTTTACGATCAAACCGGTGGCTTAGGGTGTGAACTCTTCTAAAGCTGTAGTCATGCAACCTGCCAATAAAATCAACCATTGATAAATAACATATTAAATATTTAATATTATTAAATATTTTTATATTTTTTAAGACAAATCTTTGGAACCTTTAACTTTCATATCTCCGCATATATTTTGATAATATTTTAATCGAACTTAAATTTGAATTATTTTTTGACAGATTTTAAAAATTATTTTTTTTAAGTTTACGAGTAAAATTTTTTAATTATTGTATTCCATTTATTATTATTATGCAAATTACAAAACTTTTATTTTCAAACATGAATTTTTGAAAAATTTCAGATTCAAACTTTCAAAAAATTCAATTATTAACTAATTTAATAATTAATTATTGTTGTTTATAAATTCAAAATTTTTATTAAAATTCTTCGCGCAGAATTCAATTATTTTCATAAATAATAACATTCTTTGTAAGAATTTAATTATTTTTATAAATAAAAAATTTTTTTGCAAAAATTGACAATACTTTTCAATAAAATTTTTCGAAGGAATTCAATTTTTTTTTATTTTGAATAAAATTTTTCGATAGAATCCAATTATTTTCTAAAATTTTAATAAATCCTTCTAAACCAATTCAATTATTTTTAGATGTTATAGTAAATTAATCGCCAAATCAAATTATTTTTATAAATAATAAAATTGTTCTCAGGAATTCACATTATATTCTCCGATATAGTTTTAATAAACGTGTAAAAATTATCAAATATTTAATTATAATTATTACCAGACACAATAATTTAAAAAAATTGAAAAGAATTTTATTTAATTCAATTATTTTTAAAATTTTCATTTAAAATTATTTTAAAAAATTAAATTGTGTCGAAAAGAACTTAAAGAAGTTCTTCAAAAAATTAATTATTTACAAATTTCTAATAAAATTATTTAAAAGATTTTAATTTTTTATTAATAATTTTAATGAAAGTTTAATTATTTTCTATATTTTAATAAAATTCCTTGAATAAATTATAATATTTTATAGAAAACTTGAATTATTTTAAAAATCTGAAAGAAATTGTTCATAAATTTTAATTACTTTCAAAATTTCCAATTAAAATTATTAAAGAAACTTAACTATTCAAAAAAAAAATTGTTAATGAAAATAATTTAATTTTTTAGTATTAGTAATAAATATATACTAATAAGAATAATATATATTACGTATATAATTATATATTATAAATTGGTTATTTATAAATTTATAAATAAACAAATTGGTTAAATTGAACAGTTAAAGGTTCTAGATATACGATCATATAATAAATAAATTTAAATCCAGTATTATCTCTATTATTAAACTTAAAAATTATTTAAACTGTTAATATCTATTTGAACTAACTTTGCTTCCTTTACTGTCGCCTGCGCCATGGAATAAGAAACACCATATTTTTTCGCAACTGCTCGTAGTCCGGTTCGAGGATGTTCGCGAACATATTCTAGAATTTTTTCTTCAACCTCAGCTGTTCTCCTCGACCTTGGTCTCCCTGATATATTTTTATTATCAGGTTTGATTGGTCCTCCTTCGTTAATTCGAATCATCGTCCGTGTAATAACTTGGTGCCCGGGAAATCGCTGATTGTCTGGGTACTTTTCTCTATATAGTTGAGCAGCTCTATGACAGTTACCTCCTGATAATGCATGGCATTGAATCATTTGCAAATATTCTTTTTCTGTATAAACGACCATTTCGTATAATGTGTCAAAAAAAGAATGAATGTTTTTGTCACAATAACAAAATAAAAGAATACGCCAACGTTTACTTCACTTTAGTAATGTGAATTAAGCAGTAACTGAGAGAATATTAAAAAACTTTATAAATCCATATTTTAATATTTGCAAAAATTTGATTTTTTTATTTCAAATATACTTAGAAAAAAATCTAAGGAAGGGTGCTGAGCACGACTAATTGAACTATTGTACGCTAGACAATGAAAGAAATTTATTTTATTTGTCTCATTGTTCAGATATAATTTATTTCTCAATTTTACTCTGTTGCAAGTATTATTATAAAATTTCCAACTAGAATTGCAACGGTGTTACCATATAACATTCCCAATTATATATTTTTCTAATTGAAATGAATAAATAGGATAAAAGGCTTAAAGAAGATTTTGATTAAATCTTAAGTTATTTATTTATTAGAAGCAAAAATATAGTACAACTATTCCAAATAATAAATAAATTTTTATTCTGAATTTTCTTTTGACTAAATATAAAAACCTGCAATTTCTGCC